AGGCTAAGGGTTTATGGGTTGATATTCTTCCAGAAGTGTTATGGGCTTATCGTACGACTCCTCGGACCGCCACAGGAAAAAGCCCATTTAGCATGACGTTCGGATCTGAGGCGGTCATACCCGTAGAGATCGGAATCCCAAGTCCCAGGGTGGAAACATTTGAAGTGGAGAAAAATACAAAAGGTCTGAGGTGTAACCATGATCTAATCGTGAAGCATAGAGAGCGGGCAAGGATCAGGATGGCTGCATATCAACAAAGGGTGGCCAAGTATTACAATAGTCGTGTTCGGTCACGCTACTATCGACCGGGAGAGTTGGTCCTCAGGAAAGCTCAGTTCAACTACCAGGAAAGGCACAACAAGTTATCTCCAAATTGGGATGACCCTTACCGTGTCCGAGCAGCGGTGAAGGAAGGCACTTATAAGTTGGAGGACTTAGACGGAAAGCCTATACCAAGGTCCTGAAATGCAGAACATTTGCGCAAGTACTATCAGTAGTCGTTTTTATGTTAAGTTATTTCCCCTATTTCTAGCGTAGGACTTGCAAGTTGAGACTTCGTACTCAGACCATTTCAATAAAAGTTGCATTTTATTTTGATTTCCCGACATTGTTAGAACAAATGGTAGAATTTCAATGGACGACCATTGCCACTACCTTCATTGATAGAATTGCAGTGGACAACCATTGCCGCTATCAAAGTTAAAAAGGATTACAGTAGAGAACTATTGCTCATGTCACTAGTCTTCGGTTGTAGCTTCAAAACGCTAGTCACTTGGTAGAATGATCTACTGTAAGACTAGTGAAGAAGCACCCAAGGCTAGAATTGGGACTACCCAGTTCTTAAAAGACAGAGGATTAAATCGAACAACATTACATAAGTTGGAATTCAAAAGACCAAGCTCTACAAGCATAAAAAGACAGCACAAGTCCGGAAGTGACAACAAAACAAAAAAAGTCACAAAATCATCAACAATCAAACATCTCTAGAAGGTGAGGGGTGGACATCCTCCTCGCGTGTCATGGGATCAACAGACTCAGGAACAAGGCGACTAAGGTCAAAGGAAGGGTCAAGGGTGCCAACCAGCTGCCTACATGCGTCGAACCCGTCGAGCCAATAGTCTGAGTTCACCTCAGCAGCATCCTCGGCCTTCTTGCTGGCGTCCTCCGTCTTCTTATTAGCCTCTTCAAGGCTCGAGTCCATCCCTTTGATCCTTAGGTCGAGCTTTTTGACGAGAG